GAGGCTGCGGTGGCCGGGAGCGGCCACTGCACTCCAGTCTGGGCAACAGAGTGAGACTCCAACTCAAAAAAATAAAAAATAAAAAATAAATAAAACAAGTCGCTACTCTTGTCTCTCCAGACGAGAGGATGGTTTCACCACTCCTATGAGGCAGCTACAAAACTATACCCATGTCCCTAATGTCTCTGGATTAACTAAAAACAACTACTCAAACTTTGACATCCCTCGAGCGAATGCTTGATGATACCATAAAAAAAATAAAAATAAAAAATAACACAATGCTGGGTGCGGTGGCTCACGCCTATAATCCCAGCACTTTGGGAGGCCAAGGCAAGATGACTGCCTGAATCCATGGGTTCGAGACCAGCCTGGGCAACTTGGCGAGACCTCACCTCTACAATAAATCAAAAAATTTTTAAAAATAAAAATAAATAAATCAGCCAGGTATGGTGGTGTATGCTTGTAGTTCCAGCTATTGGAAGGCTGAACCAGAAAGATCACCTGAGTCCAGTAGATCATGGCTATGGTGGCTGTGAGTGCGCCACTGTACTCCACCCTGGGCGACAGAATGTGACTCCAACTCAAAAATAAAACAAAGCAGAAAAAACACAATAACAAAACAAAACAAACCCCCCACAAAGAGTAAGTAGGAAAAGAGAGAATAGAAGATAGCTAAAAGTGGATTCATAGGGTCATTCATAAAAGCCCATGAAAATTTACACACCCTAGCACCCAGTAATTCTTATTACAGTGGTCCTCATTATCCATATTTTCACTTTCCATAGTTTCAGTGACTCCAAGTAAACTATAGTCAGGAAATATTAAATACTAAGCACCAAAAGTAAATACATTTTTTTTTTTTTAAATTTATTGTAGAGATGAGGTCTCGCTGAGTTGCCCAAGCGGGTCTCGACCCTGCAGGCTCAGGCAATCCACTCACTTCAGCCTCCCAAAGGCACGGGATTACAGGTTGAGCCACCGAGCCTGGCTCTTTTTTTTTTTTTTTTTTTTTTTGAGTTGGAGTCTCACTCTGTC